GTGTGTGTGTGTGTGTGTGTGTGTGTGTGTGTGTGTGTGTGTGTGTGTGTGTGTGTGTGTGTGTGTGCGCGCGCGCGCGTGCGTGTGTGTGCGTGTGCGTGTTTGTGCATCAGATGTGTGTGAACACATTGCGGAGGCTCAGCATGGCAGAAACCACGCACCATACTGCAATGACTTGCTGGTTCTGGTGGTCTGTAGCCTCTCTCGTCGAGGCTGTACCATAGGTAGGACAGATTCACAATTTTGTTTGGCTGAGGGTTAACCGAGAGACCTGCCTGTAAGGAAAATTCGAGAGGGACATATCTGCAAACTCGGGAAAATATAGGCCCGTACTAACTAGAATTTCCTACAGCTACCCTAACTGCGAATAGCAGGCCCGGGCTACCCCTAGGACAGACAGGCCCTATGGGCCTAAGCTGATAGACGGTCGTATAGCCTATAGCCGGGTAGGGAGAGGCCCTAAAGGCCGAAACTGTAACGGTACCGGTCGGTCCAGTCAGTCCGGTCTAGGTTGTGTCTAGGCTAGTGTAGGTCATAGATAGGGGGAGGACATCGGTTCAGGGCTTTTGGCAGTTGGTACCATGTACATCGCTGCTGTGCAACGCGTGAACTGGAAGTGGTGACAGCTTCAGCGTTGGAGAAGACGGCCATAGCTGGGCCTGCGGAGTGTCAGCCATAGCTGGGACTGACGCTGTACTCTGACAGCAAGTGGGGCTGCCAGAGGTCCGAGCTATTTGAAGTCTGCTGGAGGCGAGAGAAGTCGGTGCCCTGCGGGACCCTCTTCCAGAGTAGGGTTACAGGGTGTGTGGCGCTGCTGCGGACTTCCACCCGGGAAGTCATCTGGCACTTCATCATCATCAGATACTGTGGCGCTGGTCTTCTTCTCCTTCCTCTGAGAGGCGCTTGGCCGCAGAGGCTTGTTTCAGGGTGGCGCTGCCTTCTGGAGGCTGTATCTGGGTGGCGCTTGATGTTTAAGGGACTCAGGGGTAGTGATAGCGGTTACTCAGGGTTGGGGAGTGAAGCGCTGCTCAATTCTGAGCAGCGCACCATAGTTCCGGGGTTATCCTGACAATTCGAGACTCTGAGTTTAATAAACAGTGTTGATACTGGGTTTGGAGTCTTTGGACTATCATTGCTTCATTGTTTCTTGGATGTGATCTACTCGGCTTTCTTTTGTGACTGGTTGTGAGGATTCTGTGGAGTGAAGTGCACTTTCAGTGTTCTCTGTCATGTCGCATGCTCAAGTCTTCCGCTGTGTTTATCTCTCACTGTACGGTGTGATACTCCCATCCTCTCCCCTTCTTTCTGTGTATGTATGGGCATACCTGGAAGTCTATGTGAGCGAGTGTTGGTCTTCTGACAACAAGCAACCAGGTTCATAACAATACCATCACAACGCCTCAGGTGGAGAATACGCATCTGAGTGCAGTCGAGTCTAAAGACAGGGAACAGACCATAAAGGAGAAAAAGACATCGAAAGTTTTGAAACCGAAACACACAGGCAACAAGCAACAAGGCGACACATAGGCTGGATGGCACGGGGGACGAGGGAGGGCACATGTCACACCATCGGAAAAAGCAGGGAAAAGACCACAACAAGCAAGCAAGAAAAAATAAAAGAAAAAAATGTCCTGGGAAAAAGAAAAAGCGAAAAAAATAAATTTATGAAGTTATGAACTTGTGAAGATAATGAAACTTACGATAGTTTTTTTTTTTTTTTTGTCAGAGTTGCACTCACACGTCAGGAGGCTGAACCCTCAACATCTGTGGAATCTCCGTATTGATGGATCGGGTCATGAGCCCTTTGACCCATGAAGGCAGACTGTCCACAAGTGGAACACAACAGCAGGCCAACAACTCAGCGAAGACCAGGCAACGCTTCTGGAGCAACCCGACTGCACAGCTCCAAAAACGACTGCAAGGAACGACACAGCACACGGACGAGAAGCACGGCAACCATGCAGTGAAGCACAAGGCAACACAAGCACGGAAGCCAAACTACACGGCACACAACAAAGGACAAAAGATACGGCATGTGGATGGGAGGCAAGGCAGCAGAGCAGCGAAGCACAAGGCAACACCAGCACCGCAGCCACACCACACAGAAAACACAGCAGCTTGCAAAGAACGACACACGAAGCAAGCAGCAGGGGCAGAAAGGCAGCGACGGAGTGCAGACAAGGCAGTGTACACATCCAACATGGAGCAAAGCGGCACATGACCTACTCACATGATGGGTGAGCCCCGCAGAATGCTGGTTCCCACCACCCACTGAGTCAGGGAGTCAATCCGACGGACGCCTGTCATCACCCATAGACCATATTCACCTCAGACATCACAGACCGAGCCCCCCCACCCCTAAGAGTCCTGCAGGCACTCCAAGCAGCCGATCACCGACTGTTTAGCACTTCTTAAGGTGCTCACTCAGACTTACAAAAAGTACTTAGAAAAAAACAAGAAGAAATACAAACAGACAACTGATTGCGTGTGTGTGTGTGTGTGTGTTGTAGTGTGTGTCTCAATGGAGAATGAGGAAGAGGATGGATAGTTTTTTTAAACAAAAGGGTCCATCTATTGGTGGAAGTCGTTAGCGGTCGCAGTCATTAGTGGTCATAGCTCTCATTCTATTGTATGTTCAATGAAATGCTTAGCTATCCGGTTAAGGAAACTATAATTCCGCGTTCGCAGTTTCTATTTTCCTCTTTTCGATTCTTCACAATTTGTTTCGTCTAAAAAATCACAGTGATACGTTGTCAGGCGGCCACAAGCAGTGCGCCGCCCGAAATCTGCGGTTCTGGGACTTAGGCTCAAGGGCAAGTCCGTGTTTTGACGGTACTCTGGTTTGACCGGGCAGCAGAAATTAGGGGAACTCAGGGTACCCTTAATTTTGGGCACACTGAACCTTACGACTAACCCTCAAAGATAGCGAGATGGGTGGGCGCACTTGGCGTATCTAGAGACCGTCATTTCCGGCCGTTCAGAGGGCTGGAGCCGGATTGGCCTGCCGCGAGGAGGCATCGCGGGAGYAGACCTYGCCGCGACRCTTTTGCAACATACGACCGGGGCCGAAATGAGGCCTCAAATTTTTGTCTATCTTAGTGCCATAATTAAAGATGGGGAAAAAGGATTAAGACCAGTAGGGGAGAAGGGAAAAACATAATATCCCTTAATTCCTTTATTTTTCACGGCATTTAATTCTAGGGGGAATATCCTTGATATTTTATGTAACCGACAATGAAATTAAAAACACAGAAAAAGATTAACAATGGACAAAGAGGTATGAAACAAAAGGAATTGGGCCATTTATTTAAACTCACTTGGAATTTAATTTTGGGAAATTTACGGTTAAATTACTATTTCAGACAATAGAATTAAGRAAAACGCAGAATGATTAAGAACGATGAAAGRGGRCGGAAACCCATGACTAATGGGAGATCGRCCTAATTTCGTTGCGATTACCCGCCATCGGCTCTAACCCCGGATTGATCKKTTTCCCCGATTCTRACARTATTCACTACTGCCGGCGGYYGAGGATCCCTGCGTCGTTTTCCCTRGGTTGCTTGATTACTAACTTCACCGCAGATGGGATGTTCTGAGGGCGAGAGTCGCATGGACARCATGRGGGGGTGTTACCTTGGATCGACWRTACGRYATTTGGCACGGTACGGTTACATGATTCTGAGAGGTTCGGTATGATGCGGAGTGGCTGCATCCTATGGTATCCGACGAGCCTCTGGTTCGGAATGGGCTCRGCGTCAGTTTGCTTAAGATATGGGGCCACTACRGGGACTTATYTTCASGATTGYGGCCGYTGCGGTGATTTATCTTTAGGCACGGGACYTGTACGGCAGCTTACTTCAGGTTCGGACACATTCACATGATTTACTGTCARGTTCGGGAATGGAACGGCGGTGTAACTCGRCTTCGRCGCCGCCACGACGGATTACTTCAGGCTTGATTTCARATTYGGTATAACACGACACCGACTTACTTCARGCTCGACGAGGCCTCGACATCCGTTTATTCCGGGGTTGAGCACGRCAATTTCGGTGCRGGTTACACCAACCTCGAGTGACTGTTACAGGTTCGTCATCAGCRTGTTACAGGCTGTGGCACCTTGGTTTGCCTATGGTATTCGGTGCAAGATCTGCGGAGGCTCGTTTCCGGCGCGCTGGTTTCAAAATGGACCTCTGGCCGCGGGATAGCCGAAGCAGTGTGGAACTCAGACTTTCGCAGGCCGAAGCTGACGCGTCAGGAGCTAGCTCTGTTAATTTCAGTATCTTCTGGGAGGCCAGCACGAGCTGCTGTCGCTCGTAGCAAGAACAGGCATTTCTAGCCTGCTTGGTGAGATTGCGGGCCGTACAGATTGGATACCGGGGTCACGACCAAGTGAGACTTGAGCCTACGGTGGTGGGGCGATATGGGGTAAATCTGAGAAACGAGAGGTTCTTTTTTGTGCAAGACACGAGCGAGCCGCCTCTCCAGGCAGGACGGAGAGTCAGTGCCCAAGCGCGACGGAGAACCAGTGCCCAAGCGGTTGCAGCACCCAGGCCGGACTGAACGACGAGGGTCGGTCAGTATATGTCGAGAGAGGCGGAACGTAAGAGGGGAGTCTTGCCTTGGCGCGAGCAAGGTGTACCCGCGACTGGATGCACGGGGGAGAAGTGTCCGTATTCGGGCGGTTACTGAGGGTGTGAGGGGAGAGACAAGAATGAGGGATCGCAAGCCAGGCGTACCCGACGTACAGCAGTTGCGGAGCACTGCAAGCACAGGCAGACGTGTGGGCGCTGAGGCGGTTACTCGGGGAGTGAGGGGAGTGACAAGAGGGAGGGATGTGCACGGTGTGCGGAGCGCAGGTGCGGGCGGGCAAGGCGTTCGCAGCTGTTACTGGCGAAAGATAGTTGGGAGAGAATCGGACGAGGGAGTGAGGGGCGTGCCCGGCGCAAGCAACGTTCGCGCGCGTGAGGTGAGATGACAAGGTGGGATGAAAATGGGACGGCGTACGAGCTGACCGCTGCACATACGTGACGGGGTGCGGGCGTCAGAGAGACTCGCAGTAAGAGAACCGAACACGGGAGCACGGGGCGGGAGCTACCGAGGTGCCACTCACCACTACCGTAAGCGGATGACTCTGCAGATGAGYAACRGGCAAGAGTTCGGAGTAAGAAYGCAACGTGCGCGCGATTCCCTTTCCAGGCAACGGTCGCGAGAGCTCGACTGGGCGAGCGAGTGGTGGTGGAAATTCACTAAGATGGAGATGGCGCAGGTATTTTGAGTGAGCAAGCACAAAGAGCGTGAGAAGGTGAGTCGCGATAGCCATGGCGGGATGAGCTAGATGGGGGGCTGAAAGGAAGGAACTCTGAGCGAGACTTCTTTTCGCGGCGTGYCGKGCAKAGCAATAGACCGCAGGGCATTCTYGKAGTATCGAGCCCAAGGTRAGACTTCCATTAGAGCCGAGCGAAGGAGGTTTTAGCGCACRCTCGCGAGAAAAACAGAAAACAAAGAGSTGAAGAGACGGRAASGGAAGACTGCCTGCRCRKCTAAAGGTTGAGGGAACCGTCGAGGACTAACACGTGGGGCGAGAGCGAGTGAAGGACGGACACTTATTCGRAAACACGACGGAATCAAAAGGGACAAAGGCTGCAACGAAGAGATGATCRRCATCGGGCAAAGGCGAGAAGTGGAAGCCAAGACTGAGTTCTCCTTGATGAAGACTAGCGSGATTTGACCCCAATCACTGCACGATTTGATTGGTAACAGCGGGCRAGAACCGACAGGTGAAACCGAAACCGAAGGTCAARAGGATYGCGTGTGTAGGTTGCTGTTCCCTACATTTGTCCGCTGAGTCATTGTCAGATAGGCAAACCGAAMGTAGAAACCTCTCTTTGTCTGACGAGCAACTGCAGTCTCGTTTGCTCGCTTCGCTCAAAGTTGTCTCATCCTTGATCCCTGGATCATACGAGGAACTGTAAACTCTTTTGAACGTCTGGCTCGAGGTTATAACATTCTCGGATCTTTTATTTGACGAGCCACCRCAGAGTCATTCGAATATTTGGCTCAAAAATTTCTTATGCCTGGTCTCTTCGATATTTCACGCGCAACTGCGGAGTTATTACTTTGCTTGGCTCGAAATTGTTCCTACCCCCGCATCTCTGATTCAKTGAGAGAGAGAGAGGAAGAACARCGAGYGGGGAAGAGTGAATGGGCGAGAGTGAGAGGGGAGGAGAACCGGGAAAGAGAGATGAAGATGGAGGGGAGAGGAATAGAGGGCAGTATGACCTCTCCAAGGGGAACAGCAATGCTTAACGGGGCGTGAACTCGTCCATTCTGCAGTTCAGTGTGAAGATGAGGTGCCTCACGACTTTGCCCAATTGTCGCATTTGCAACTGTTTGGACTAGCCAATCCAACGGAGAGCTAACGAAGCTCGTCTCAAATTCGTTGATCTCTGTGTAGGAAAATTTTAGCTAACCGTTTGTGGGATCTTGAAGCTTGATTGCGCGAGCTTATCATTGGGAGAGTTTTCCTGGTCTGCTATTTGAGCATCCGAGCTTGCTGTGGGGCGAGCTGCTGACCGTTGGTTTTTTTTGTTCTAACTGTAGAACGAACTACCTGAACTGACGATCAAGTTACCAAATCCTGCTGGGGCACGAGTATGCAAAACAACTCATTGGCTGTCTAACTTGCTGTTGGTCAAGCTTGCTGGTCGGACAATTGACCTTCCAAATGCTGGCATTGCGTGTGCTAGTAGGGATGCTGAAAATACGGGAAAGTTGAAACAGGGTTCATAACCGTACTATCAAAGCTTGAACCCTGCTGGTCGCTGAGGACCTCGGAAGTGGGCGCCGCGAGTGACAGGCGCCGTAGCCCTTGGCTTCAGCGAACTGCGGGCGACCCCTCCCCGGGTTTCCTCACAAATATGGCGCCGTTGCCAGGGAGGGGAGCAGCACCCCCAAGGCCGTTGCCTTCCCCAATCAATGGGGCTGCGCGGGCTGATTAGTCCAAATACTAATTAGTTCGTTTTCTTGATTAGTTCTGTTTTTGATATTTTTTTGAATTAGTTTTTTTTTAAATATCTCGCAATCCGCGCATTTTCTCGCAAAGAACGCAGGGGACAAAGTTTGACGTCTCGACAAGGGGAACGTTATGAGACGTTTCTTGATGAAATCTAACGGTCAGATTTCGAGATAACGAATTTTCTTCGATAAGCAAATTATTAATTCGGAATTTCCAGTTTTCTTTTTTAATTTTTGCGGGAAATTGGTACATTTTCTTGAGATAGCTCTTTGAACCAAACCTGCTCAGTTTATTTTTCTTGTCGTTTTGATACCTTGGATGGGGCAAACGGAGGTGGTTAGAGGTAAGAACGGCGAGTAACAGCAAAGAAAAAAGAAGTAGACCAATAATTAAATATTTAATTTCTTTAAAAATTTCGTGTAAAATACCATAAAAGGGATTAAGAAAAAGTGTTCTGTCAAAGTTTTTGCAAATTTCGAGTGAAGTTGACGGGAAAATTACGGGAGCGTGCGGTTGCGCGCGAAGCCCCCAAAACCCTAGTAGATAAACCCTAATTAGGGGAAACCCTAATTAGGGGAAGTCTTATTCAGGGTTTTGGGGCGGATAACAACCTCGAAGAGGAAGGATAATATACAGAGAATATTTTGCCTTTTTAATTCTTCGGCTTTTTCCTTTTTGAAAAATTAAATTAAAGAAAATATTTAATTAAAAAAAAAAAAAAACGGAAAAGGATTAATTAAATTTTGTGTTATTGTATTTTTAAATTCTGACGTCTTTCCTTTCGGGTTGTTGAGCTAGGGGCGGAAGCCTGAACCCCATCCCCACGGGGGGAGGGGAAATACTGCCCAATTTTCTAAAAAATTTGTAAAATATTTTGAATTAATTAGGAAATAATTAGAGAAAATACTCAAAATTTGGTTAAAAATTTTCTTTTGATATTTTTTTCATTTTGCTATACTCCTTCGGCGGCTATTTTGAGGCCTTCGGCCAAACCCCATCCCCACGGGGGGGAGGGGAAATACTGCCCAATTTTCTAGAAAAAATTGTAAAATATTTTAAATTAATTAGGAAATAATTAGAGAAAATACTCAAAAATCGGTTAAAAATTAATATTTTCTTTTGATATTTCTTTCCTTTTGCTATATTGCTTCGGCGGCTATTTTGAGGCCTTCGGCCACACCCCATCCCCACGGGGGGAGGCGAAGTGCTGCCGAATTTTTCGGGGACCCTTGAGGTCAAGCAGTTTTGCCTAAAGACATATACAAGGGACATGAGGGTATGTAAAATAAGAAAGAGGGTGAATCGTACGTAAGCGTAATTTTTGTAAATTAAATACAATTAAATACAGGAAATTCCCTAGGAAGGAAAAGGAGGAGGGAATTGGAGTAGAAGAAGAATACTTCCCTAATTAAAAATTATATATTTGGAATTTATACAATAAAAATTCAAGATAAATAATTAGCGATTGGCGGAAAGAGAAACGCACTTGCCGCACTACTCTCTAGGGGAAGCTTTGCATGCCTCTAGGCAGTGGTCGAGGGCCAGTGGGTTTCTAGAAGATAAAAGTAATTTTTATTAATTTAAATTCACTAAAATTCCCTAAAAATATTAAAATGGCTTAGAAAAATAGAGGAAAGAAGGTTGCGGCCTTCTAATTTTGGTACTTAGATAGAGGGTAACATTTGTACTCCTGAGGGGTGACCGGAGTAGTCGGGGCCAGCGTTCCCTCGAACAGAGCACATGCCTTCTATTCGAGGGAACTCAACTATAGGGTCTGTTGCCTTATTTAGAGCCGGGACTCCGCCCTGTAGCACCATAGGGGACCTTTGGATAGTTAGGAGATAGATTGATAGCGTGATATCGGGGCTCCCAACGAAGGGAGGCGAAGCGCCGCCAAAATTTCCTTAGAATCGACAAGCCTTCTTCTACTATCTTTCACTTTCTCTACGCATCCCTCTTGCTGCGTTCTCTCTAGTCGCCAGTTGGATGTGGCCGCGAGCGCAAGTAGAGGTCTATGAGGCCACCATCGACTGGGACTTGGAGCCCCCTGAACTCATAGAAGGGGATCTGGTGGAGCTCATGATCCCCGAGCGCAGCATTCGATACGTTGACGGCCAGTTTGCGTGGAGGTTCATAATTTTGTCCGAGGACGTGTGGCTTTGGACGCACAGAGAGCACCGGCCTGGGCAAGGAGTGGGTGTAGTGAGAGCCTACTTGTACTTAGGACCGGGCGCGGTTAGGGAGGCCGTGGTGGGCCTCGCGACAACAGGGACTAGTGGCGCGGTGAGCAGGGAGTTACGCTACCTGAGGGATGAGGTAGCTGCCTTCCGAGCGGAGGACTCGAGCGACCCGTTGACACTATTTCACGGACGCCCTCCTCTTGATATCACGGGCGAGCTGGTGATAGCACGGGACGGGTTTTTCCCGTACAGCGTTCGGAGTCTGCGGGCGATAGTTCCGACGTTCGTAGTAGAGAGTGTCTTTGGAGGTATTGGTGGAGTGGTCGAGACATACCTAGCCTATCAGGATCTCAAGATCCTGGCGAGAAGGCCTGACGACCTCGACTACATCTATTATTCTCTCGCGACCGGTGGGCCTCGTTGGGGTGACGAGAGGGTTCAGCTTATAGAGCTGATCCGTTCGATAGACGACGAGTGACCCTAGTCTCCGTGCGTTTGGGATTGGCTAGACCGTGAGCTCCGAGCAGGCCCCGAGTACGTGATCTGCATCGGGCGGCTCTTCTCAGACGACTGGGGGAGCTGGTGGAGTGAGGATGTCGGGCGACCTCTGATATACGGCCATCAGTTGGCGGAGTACTACCAGGCTATAGGACAGGCGCCATACCGCGTCGAGGACGAGTTTGACGACAAGGGTTGGGAGCGAGAGGACGACGAGGACGCATGGGAGCCAGACTGGGTCGACCCAAAGAGTGAGGTTGACGAGGAGGAGATCGACGTTACGGACGCCCACTTCCCCAGGATAGGAGTAGCAGTCCAGGCGTAGGAGGCAGAGGAGCACATTAGGGCGACGGTTGAGTGAGCTTAGCCACTGATATCGGGTAATGGTGGAGAGCGGATCGATGGTAGAGCAGGCCAGTGGAGTGGAGCTTCAGATCGACGACGCTAGATGGCCTACACCTCCAGAGACAGTAGCGCCAGGCAGGGTGGCGCTGGATTTGCCGGCCAGAGGGGTTTCCGCGGATGCGATAGAGAGTCGATGGTCATCGACGGTGTTGGGCCCAGACGTACACTTGTGGACGTATGTCATCGAGACGTTTGAGCTAGACAGTCAGAGGTGGCGACGACCAGGCACGACTAGCATAGAGGTAGTGGGCCACATTTACTACTCGCCAGAGGTGCTAGCTACGGTCTATTATCACGGCCTCGTACACGATCATTGGCGAGAGGAGCAGACCGCGAGGGCGATCTTACTGGCTAGAGCGGACTCCGCACGCGGCGAGGTGAAGCGGCTGCACGGGGGTGTTCGGAGAGTGACGACGACCTTCAGGATTGGAGGACGCTTCCCATATCCTAGCGGTCGACTGCGTGTGACACTTTCGTGCTTCTTGGCAGAGGAGCTTTGGGGACTTAGGCGTCTGGGCGAGATCTACTTTGCGGCTCTTGACTTGGACGGCCTCTGCCGAGGGTACACTGACAGGGATTGGGTGTTGTATGCGCAGTTTGTAGCAGGGACGCTTGTAGGCGAGCGAGAACTCCAACTGATTGAGTTCCTGCGGGCCATTGTACCTACCGGGAACCCCGACCTATACTCTCTGTACCAGCCCCTAGCCTTCTGGACGACACTAGAGAGGGAGGCTCGGAGGCCTACAAATCATTTAGCTGGAGTAGGACAGCTGTTAGCCGAGACTCGTGAGGAGAGGCCGGGCCATCTCATCTTGACCAGGGAGGTTGAGGAGTATTACCGGCAGGTATATCCAGAGGCAGACGATCTTGCGTGGTATGCTGAGGATCGGGATTGGGAGGACTTCGAGGACATAGACCCTTGGGGCGACCAGGACGAGGGCTGGGGAGATCTGGCACAGGCTGAGGGACAGGAGCAGGTAGGTGGAGAGGCGCGGCAGGAGGACGGCTGGGGGCATCTCCTTCAGGCCGAGGGACAGGAGGATATCCCGTGGGGCCAGAGGGTAGATGAGGGCATAGATGGAGATATGCCGGATGCGTGGGACGACTAGAGGCAGGGCATGTCCGAGTGAGGTTTAGATAAGAGAGTAGTGGAGAGACGGTAAGGAGATATCTTTAGGCGAGGCGAGACTGGCAGCAAGAGCAGGAAAGGATGGCAGACAGGGATATACTGAGAGTGACGCTTTCCCTACGACGAGATCGGACAGGAGGCTGGGAAGATGAAGTGTTGGACAATGTTGATCGACAGATCAAACTCATGACGGAGCATGCCCTGGAGATATGGAGAGGCCAGAGGTACATCGAGTTCACTATCTACTTCCATAGAGCAGACGGGAGAGTGCACGGCACCTACTCGGCCATGATGGACCTGAGTGGGAGAGTTGTCTGAGGGGTTAGCGACATCATGACATAGGGAACGTCGAAGGGAGTAGAGTAATACAGATCGAAAACCGAAGGGGAGATGAGGAGTGACTCAGTAGTCTGGTTAGCTTATGTTCTCTCACGAGAGTCTGAATCCTATAGCGTGAGGAAGCTAGTGAGACCCAGAGAGACGGTGGTTGGATACGACATTCCTCTTCTTGTGGCGTTAGAGGGGACAGGGCGTGTTCTGTTACGATACCTGGGAACGTGGCTCGTAGAGAGACTCTTCCTTTGGACAGTGATACTGAGAGATGGACGACCCGAGAGGACTCATGACCTAGAAGGGGTCGGACATCTGATAGCGGATAGAGCACACGATTTAGAGGTAGGACTGACGCTCGCAGGGGCCAGCAGGGCTTGGTGGAGAAGCGAGTTGTTGGCCATAGTGACTGTTAATCAGCAACTGGCGAGACTCTCTGGAGGGGGAACGTATAGGAGCTGCTTGGTATACGGTCCTCCGCATCCGACCCTCTACCCGAGAGAGGATTGACGATTCGGACTTCCTGCCTTCGTGATAGGGCAGACCTATGGAAGCGTAGATCATTTGAGTAGAGCAGTGGACCACACACTTTACGCGCTTTGGGAGGGTTTAGCGCCCCGTTTCAAGGAAGTATACTACTCCATTTATGTGAGGTGGGGACCGCCCAATAGAGAGATGCTTGACGACATCATAGACATTACTAGCTGGGTGGACTGTCTGAGGCTAGTCGATCTGATTAGGTACTGCAGGAGATGGGCGGAGATCGATTACGTGGGGCTAGAGGATGTGAGGTTTCTCTTCGAGTCTGCAGCTTAGGGAATGCCGGGGAGGACGGCCACAGTGATGCGTGTAGGAGAGCAACTGGTAAGCACAGGGTACACTGTGACAGTACTTCTCCGAGCGTATGTAGATGAGGACTTGATGGCGAGGGAGTGTCGGCGACGTGCCAGAGATTTGATCCACGAGCATAGAGTCGATGCACTGGCGCGGGTGACCTTCCAGACCTCGATTTCCTATGAGGTGATGATATGGTCACATGGTTATATGCGTGCGGAGCACTTCCACGACGAGACGGTAGCGGAGGCTAGAGCAAGGGTGAGAGGATGAGCTGGATAGAGATGAGGACTGGGTATGGAAGAGGAGAGTGAGGCAGTCGAAAGAGTGAGAGAGCGCATTAAAGAGCCACTCTTGAACCAGGTAAAGTAGTTGGGGAACAAGTTAAGGGAGATCTGGTCGTGCCATGATGAGGGCAAGTTGCGCAGGGCTGAGCTCGTAACGAGAGAGTTAGAGGGTTTGTTTAGGGAGGAAAGAGAGATTATCCAAGCATGGAGATCAGACTTTCTGGAGAGGGTAAAGGCTAGGAGCGTATCACGCGAAGGGACTAGGGAGAGGTCTGCAGAGGGCGAGACAACGGAGGACAAGGTAACGCAGGGAGGTAGCGACAGGACATGAGCGGGACTGCGCTACACGCGACGGATCGGTACTCATTGCATGTGGTAGGGAGACTGGACGGACCGTTGGTGTTAGTGATCGTAGAGCTCCAGCTCCATACCAGACTGTGTATAGTTGAGGAGGCAAAGTGTGTCCGCCGTGCGCTGCGTGAGGCTAGGGGGACAGGACTTTGGAGTGGAGTGGAAGGAGAACGAAGGATTAAATACGTACTTCGAGTAACACCATTCGAAGGGCGGTCTCGGATAAGGGCATGGTACGAGACGACCAGAGAGGCTGAGAGGTTGAAGATAAGCGAAGCCAGGAAGGCTGGAGAGTTAGGGAGAGTTGTAGCAGACGGTGCAATACTCAGGGTGCTAGCCGCTCACGATCGGTACTCGAGGGAATCGATAGAGACTTTAGAGGCCATAGAGGATAGTGGAGATGAAGAGGATTTTGAGACGTTTTATGATATATTGGAGTTGTTGGCAGTGAAACTACGAGCGACTGTAGCACTGGCTACCCTCAGATGTTAGACAAGTGACCTCATAGCAGTCTGGGAGTAAAGGAGGAGAAATAGAGATTGGAAACTCTAGGAAAGAAAGTGGAGAACAGAAAGGTCGCAGAGCGACATTGGATGGCAATAGGAGGGGAGCTTCCCCCTTTAGCGAGCTACCCGATTCAGGACGGGCTGGGAGACCTAGCAAGGAGGACAGAGATAGACGCTCGGAGGCTCTTGAGGGGTGTTGATCAGGAGACACTGGTTAGGCTTGGGACCGCGATCTGCCGCAGGAGTAGAGATCCTGTCACGGGTGTACTGTAGATCCGGAGAGGCGCGGTCTTATTGACCGATCCCGAAGGAGAGGTTTACCTAGACACAGGGATTCTTGGGGTAGAAGGAGAGCACGAGATCCGCGACCGGAACCGAGTACTGGTGGTGGTGATCAGGGCAGTCGAGAGCTAGGGTTGGTGACGAGCGTGAACCGTGACAAGGAAACTGGTCCGGGCTGCGCGTTCTGTTATAGGTCCGTGCTGCAGCAACTGTCATAGGTCCGGGCTGTAACACCCGGCGAGAGTGCCTAACTGCGCCTTTAGGTGGCCTATGGAACCAGACGCGATGGGGCCACAACCAACCACGGGTGAAGTGGGGGAGGAGTACAGGACATCGCCCGACCGAGCTCTGAGGGATCTGAAAAACGAATTAGGCGGGAAGCACCGCTGAGATGGGCTGACCAAACCAATGACGGAGAGCCCGACGTAGTGGGCGAGCTGGTCGTGACAGAGCCGCAGGAGGCAATGAAGACAGGAACCTCGAGCGGCCGACGAGAAGCGACGAGACGACGCTCCCCCGAGTATGAACGGAGGGAAACCATGGCGGATAGGCACAGGGACGACTGGCGAGAGAGTTCGAGGGACTCCTATTGGAGGGACAGAGATAGAGATAGAGCACCGACGCGGCGTGTCTTCGACCCCCAAACGGGGGAATCACACCCGCTCCCTTACGAGAGCAAGGATCGCTATATTATTACGCACAAGGCCTCAGAGCCTCCTACTTTCAGGGGTTATGGCATCACAGAATATCTGGAGAAGTGGGAGCTTCAGGCCAGCCGAAGTCAGTGGTCGGAGGAAGAGATTATAGAGAACTTCCTATTTAATGTGGACCCAAGTCTCGGCAAGGAAGCCCGACCGAAGGATAGGAAATGGACTACGTACAAAAAGAATCTCGTTGAGCTTTACAAATTGGAGGATGACAAGTACTCCATCAAGGACCTTGAGACAATGACTCAAGATGAAGATGAGAGCGTACGGGCATTTGGGATTCGTTTCCAGAAGATCTCCGACGTGCTGATGAAGAAGGGGAAGATCTCAGAGGTCGAGCGCTGTACTATCTTCATCGGACACCTGTCCAAAGGTAGACAAAAGAGTATACTTAGAGATCTTCCGCACGACAAGCTTGACTTCCCAGAAATCCTAACGCTCGCAATAAAGGCAGAGGCAGACGACTACAAGGACTTGGTGTGGAGAGGGATGAGGAGATGTTACTTCTCTCTCTACAAGGAGTATGCCACTAATAGATGTCCTGATTTCAAGGACTATCCCTGGTCGGAGAAAAATGAAGCCGTCGTCGAGGAAGTGAAGGAGATAAGGGACATGGTAAAGGGATTGACAAGACAAGTTACAAAGATTGTGACCACCACAGGAGCCACGACATACCGGGACAAGCCCGGAGGACCCTATTCACTTCGCTGGGACCGGAGGTACACTGATTCCTAGAGGAGTGTCGAGGATAGAAATCCTCGAACGCTGACTGATTATCGTGCGAGGGAAAGGGAGAGAGACGATGAGCCATGGCGACGTAGGGATGATGAGATAGACCAGGACCGCAGGACTCGTGAGACGTATGGGCGTGCTAGGAGACCGGATGACTACTCGCGTAGCCCTCGTTATGAGGCCGATCGGGGTAGAGGCGACTCTCGAGGCCGGTGGGAGTCAGATCAGGGCCGACGAGACGGATACAGGGACAGCAGATATGAGAGATCAGACCGGGATGGATATACGGACGGAAGATATGAGAGGACGGATCGAGATGGATACAGAGGCGGCGGATGTGAGAGAGGAGATCGACTCGATGATTCACGCAGGCGATACGACCGAGGAGACCGACGTGATGATTCACGCAGGTGGTACGACCAAGGAGACCGACGTGATGATTCACGCGGGCGATACGACCGAGGAGACCGACGTGATGATTCACGCGGGCGATACAAACACGGAGACCGCCGCAATGACTCGCAGGGCAGAAATGAGAGAGGGGGATACGGCGCGTCATCTGATCCGTATCCGAAGTCCCCTGACCCCGGAGCAGCGAGAGGTTCGACCTCCAGAGGCACGGACGACAGGCCACCCACCCCCAGGAACTCTTGCGTCTATTGTAGAGGGGATGATCATATCAAGAGAGATTGCCCGGACCTCAAATGGGCAATAGATGAGGGGTTTGTCGTGCTTGACGACCGCAAGTACGTCAAGTGGGCAGATGATCTGGGAGATGTATCGATGTTCCCTTCGATGAAGGAGAATGTCGAAGCAAGGAGAGTAAAGCCGAGTAAAGGAAAGGAACCGGTCAGGAATCAGAGCATCAAGATAACTTTTGAGGGGGATATGGCGACCACACCCATAAGGGTGGCAGCCACCAAGTCGGCGAGAGGGTCTACATCGAAGAAGATTGACACGGATTACGTGATGGCAGAGAAGGACGGACAACGGATCGATGGAGAGGAGGTTATTCTTTCGCCGCAGAAGCGGGGAGTGGAGAAGTTCTTGATGAAGAGTTCGCTGGACGAGATTGACACGGTCGAGCCACTGAGGTGGGCCCTTCGGCAGCCCATGCAGTGCTCTATTCTAGAATATCTGGCGGCATCCAAGCCGGCTCGCGATGAGTTACAGATGATTACGCGGAAGACTCGCATACCTCTATTAGACGAGGCTCAGGGAGCCCCTAAGGCGGATGCTCCTACTATAGCAGTAACGGGGGTGACTGTCAGAGCGGATCGCATGGCGACAGTCCTTCTTGATGGGATGAAAGGTGTGCCTCCAGACAAGTTTTACATACTTGGTAGTAGGGTCGTGGAGGCGATCATAAACAATGGAGCGGTACTAGATGCTGTGATCGATAACAGCAGTGAGGCTGACATTATAGACGAGGATCTGGCAGTACAGGTTGGACAAGGCCTCGATAGGTCATACCTATTCGAGATAAAGACGGCTGATGGGAGAAAGCAACAGATCACCAGGGTTTGTCACAAGGCAGCCATAGAGGTCTAAGGCTTACGAGTGACCCTGCCGGTCTTTGCAGTCAAGAACTGCAGGTCTGATCTGCTCTTGGGACGAACGTGGTTGAGCCACGTGCATGCGGTGACGATAGAGCGACCGGATGGGAGCCAAACATTGTCCATTAAAAAGCTAGATGGGACGCGGGTTATGATTGAGACAGTGGAGCCTCGGGACCCGAGGAACAGAGCAGCTCTCGCTGTGGGTGCAAGACCCAGTGATCAGATTAAGTCATTACCTATCTCCGGCCGCACGGTGCGATTTCGCGAGAAGAAGTATGGACCACTGCTCACAGAGGAAGAAGGTCGGATCGTGGAAGTGGAAGATTTAGGGAGTTGGCTGATAGTGGACGGCAACTCGTACCCAAAGGAGACAGATGAGGAATTTGGCGGTGTGGTATCTGTGTCTTTTTTAAGGGCACGGCCCCCTATGGGGGGCTACCCAAGCGACACAGGCGAGTAACTCAAAAAGTTAAGCCAGCGGCGGTGGGCCGCGAGCGATCTGCACTGGAAGGGATTTCGGAAGAAGAGATCGCAAAGGAAATCAAAGAAAGAAAGAAAAAGGAGCCGCAACGCCTAAGGGAAGAGAGAATAGCAGGGATGGACATCGAAGATGGAAATCTGACCCCACAGGAGCGAGAACGTGTGATAGAGATCCTATAGCCTTCAGCGACGCAGAGCGCGGTAGGGTTGACCATCGATACGCAAAGCCAGCAAGGATTTACACGATTCCACATATTCCTTGGAATGGCGCAGGATGGAAATACGCCCAGAAGGAGAAGGAAGAAGTTGTCACTTTTCGAAAGAAAAGATGGTTTCGCATGTTGCGGAGCCGTCTGATAGCGCCTATGCTAATCGATGGTTCTTCCTACGAAAGCCGAATGGCAAGATCCGATGGATCCAGGACCTTCATAAGGTCAACGCGGTGACGATACGAGACGTGGGCTCCGTGCCACACGCCGACTTACTGGCCGAAGGCAGGTCGATTTATTCGGTCTGTGATCTGTTCTAAGGCTATGATGAGGTACCGCTTGATCCTAGGGACAGGCACCTCACGGCTATGCACACGCCATTGGGACTGATACAGATGATGGTTCTCCCTATGGGTTGGACTAATGGGGTAGCCGTTTTCCAGAGAGCCATGGTAGCCGTCCTCAAGGACTTCATCCCTGATAAGGTTGAAGTTTTTCTGGATGACTTTCCTATAAAAGGGTCAGTAAACAAGGATGAGACAGAGGTTGTACCAGGAGTTAGAAGATTCGTCGAGCAGCACCTAACAGATATTTGCGCGGTACTTGAGCAGCTGGACGATGCGAATTTAACGGTCAGCGGGACAAAGAGCCGATGGGTCGTCTCAACTATTAAGATCTTGGGCTTTATCTGTGACTCGAGAGGACGCTGAGCAGATCCGACGAAGCTAGACAAACTCCTGAACTGGCTGTCACCATTACATAGTCCAACCGAGGTCCGACAGTTTCTAGGAGTGGTCGGTTACTGGCGTATATTCATACGAGGGTATGCGGAGAAGGCTGAGCCATTGAGGTTACTCCTTCGAAAAACTGAGAAATTCTATTGGGATTCCTCGTAGGAACTCGCTATGCAAGAACTTAAAGACGAATTTAAGGAGGGAGGACGAGTATTGGGCGTACCATTCTTTGATGATGAGGCTGGGAGACCCTTCATAGTATCCACGGATGCTGGACCTTGTTCGGTAGGTGGATTGTTGTCTCAAAAGGACGCTGGAGGGAAGGAAGGACCGTTAAGATTTGAGAGTAGAACACTTAATACGGCTGAGCGTAACTACAGTCAATTCAAGAAGGAAGTGTTAGTTGTTCTGCGGTGTCTAGACACGGTCAGACACTATATCTATGGGCGACGGTTCATCTTGAGAGTAGATCCCACCGCGGTTGCCTCTGTCCTCCAGAAGGACTTTAGTATGACGGACCCGACCATCGCTCGATGGTTAATACGGATTCGACTATATGATTACACAGTTGAGAGAATATCTGGCACTAAAAATGTCGTGGCAGATGAGCTTTCGCGCATCCCGCTTGAGGCCGAGTGCCCGATAGTAGCTGGTGCCCTGAAAATGGCGGAGCCGAGACGCGCCGAGCGATTTCTGGTTAACCTTTACGAGGGCAAATACCGAACGATCAGGCTACATTTGTCCGGGGAGGAAAGCCAAGAATCAGATATCCAGAGACAAGTGGCGGAGTACTGCCTTAGAGCCGGCCATTTATTCCGAAGACCGGCCGGCTCGGGGATGCCCTTACGAGTAGTCTGTGACCCTGAGGAGAGACAGACGATAGTTGCGGAGCTTCACGACGGGGTAGTCGGAGGACACAGGGGAGTCAAAGGAACCTACGAAAAGGTACGCAGGTTGTATTGGTGGGAAGGACAGTATAAGGATGTCGAGAGGTACTGTATGACCTGCGAGGAATGCCATAAGAGAGCTCTTGTGAAATACAAAGAGCCTCTCAATCCATCCTATCCCACCAGACTAGGAGAGAAGGTACACATCGATCTGGTGAAGATGCTGAAAGGAGTAGGCAATATGAACTACGTCGTGAACATACGAGACGATTTCACTGGGTTCGTGGACGGTAGACCTATCAGGAGTAAGACGGCAAAGGAAGTGAAGAACTTCGTCCTGGAGTACTTATCTAGGTATGGTTGTGTCAGCAAGATAGTGATGGACAGAGGGGCGGAGTTTCTAGCTGACGAGGTTCAGAGTGTGTTCAAGAGAGTCGGGGCGAGAGTTTCGATAGCCACCGCCTATCACCCACATTCGAACTCCCCAGTAGAGAGGGGCCACCAGACTCTGATAGCGTCACTGTCCAAGTGGTGCAAGGGTAAGGACAGTGATTGGCCACAATATTTTCGATACGCAATATGGGCGGACAACGTCACGGTCCGGGCTAGTACCGGATACCCACCGTACACCTTGTGGTTTGGGCGGCATTGTCCGCTCCCCATAGAGTTTCACGTCGACAGCTGGACAACCGTCGACTGGGCGGAGGAAATGTCCAGAGAGGAACTCATAGCTGCCCGAACAAGACAGATAGCCTACGGTTTGGAAAATAACCTTATGACAGCGGCAGATCGTCGGGCAGTGGAAAGGGACAAAGGTAAAGAGAGATGGGATAAGAACGTGAGAATCAGGAAAGAGAGGGTGAGCGTAGGAGATATGGTCCTTCTCTACGACGCAGCGCTGGAAAGGACCTGGGCCGGAAAACTCGCCGACAGATGGATGGGACCTTAAAGAGTGGTTGAGGCACTCGACTGGGAAGCATATATGATAGCAGAATTGGACGGATCCAAGTGGAAGGACCCAGTGGCGGGTGCTAGGCTAAAGCTGTTTAGATCCATGCCTGCACCCACCTTATCACTGACAAGCCCGAAAGGGAAAGGAAAAGCCAAAATGGAGGATGGAGTCCCCTTGAGACGATTCGAGGCAGGGGAAAGTTCCAAGAAGAGAAAAAGAGTGGAGAGAAGAAAGGTCAAAGGGTTGGCATTAGGGAGAGAGAAGAAATGGTTATTCGTGCTCAGGAGGGCCAGACGGAGAGTCCGCATTAGACAAACTGGCGGGACGGCACCCTTCTCGAGCCAACGACAGAAGGGAAAGAGGATCCTACCAAGGCCGAGAAACCGGCGGAGAAGGAAGTCAAAAAACATCTACTTAGCCCTAGAACTCAAAACAGACTGAAACATAAGACAATTGAACGCCGACGTGGGCGTCCCTTACGGGCAATCACCCTGAAGCTCGTTCGTCTGACGAAAGTGGTTAGGGCTCGACGGGGGCGTCGAGAAGTGGTCCGGGCTAACTGTCAGGCGGCCACAAGCAGTGCGCCGCCTAAAATCTGCGCTTTTGGGACTTAGGCTCAAGGGCAAGTCCGTGTTTTGACGATACTTTGGTTTGACCGGGCAGCAGAAATTAGGGGAACTCAGGGTACCCTTAATTTTGGGCACACTGAACCTTACGACTAACCCTCAAAGATAGCGAGATGGGTGGRCGCACTYGGCGTATCTAGAGACCGTCATTTCCGGCCGTTCAGAGGGCTGGAGCCGGATTGGCCTGCCGCGAGGAGGCATCGCGGGAGYAGACCTYGCCGCGACRCTTTTGCAACATACGACCGGGGCCGAAATGAGGCCTCAAATTTTTGTCTATCTTAGTGCCATAATTAAAGATGGGGAAAAAGGATTAAGACCAGTAGGGGAGAAGGGAAAAACATAATATCCCTTAATTCCTTTATTTTTCACGGCATTTAATTCTAGGGGGAATATCCTTGATATTTTATGTAACCGACAATGAAATTAAAAACACAGAAAAAGATTAACAATGGACAAAGAGGTATGAAACAAAAGGAATTGGGCCATTTATTTAAACTCACTTGGAATTTAATTTTGGGAAATTTACGGTTAAATTACTATTTCAGACAATAGAATTAAGRAAAACGCAGAATGATTAAGAACGATGAAAGRGGRCGGAAACCCATGACTAATGGGAGATCGRCCTAATTTCGTTGCGATTACCCGCCATCGGCTCTAACCCCGGATTGATCKKTTTCCCCGATTCTRACARTATTCACTACTGCCGGCGGYYGAGGATCCCTGCGTCGTTTTCCCTRGGTTGCTTGATTACTAACTTCACCGCAGATGGGATGTTCTGAGGGCGAGAGTCGCATGGACARCATGRGGGGGTGTTACCTTGGATCGACWRTACGRYATTTGGCACGGTACGGTTACATGATTCTGAGAGGTTCGGTATGATGCGGAGTGGCTGCATCCTATGGTATCCGACGAGCCTCTGGTTCGGAATGGGCTCRGCGTCAGTTTGCTTAAGATATGGGGCCACTACRGGGACTTATYTTCASGATTGYGGCCGYTGCGGTGATTTATCTTTAGGCACGGGACYTGTACGGCAGCTTACTTCAGGTTCGGACACATTCACATGATTTACTGTCARGTTCGGGAATGGAACGGCGGTGTAACTCGRCTTCGRCGCCGCCACGACGGATTACTTCAGGCTTGATTTCARATTYGGTATAACACGACACCGACTTACTTCARGCTCGACGAGGCCTCGACATCCGTTTATTCCGGGGTTGAGCACGRCAATTTCGGTGCRGGTTACACCAACCTCGAGTGACTGTTACAGGTTCGTCATCAGCRTGTTACAGGCTGTGGCACCTTGGTTTGCCTATGGTATTCGGTGCAAGATCTGCGGAGGCTCGTTTCCGGCGCGCTGGTTTCAAAATGGACCTCTGGCCGCGGGATAGCCGAAGCAGTGTGGAACTCAGACTTTCGCAGGCCGAAGCTGACGCGTCAGGAGCTAGCTCTGTTAATTTCAGTATCTTCTGGGAGGCCAGCACGAGCTGCTGTCGCTCGTAGCAAGAACAGGCATTTCTAGCCTGCTTGGTGAGATTGCGGGCCGTACAGATTGGATACCGGGGTCACGACCAAGTGAGACTTGAGCCTACGGTGGTGGGGCGATATGGGGTAAATCTGAGAAACGAGAGGTTCTTTTTTGTGCAAGACACGAGCGAGCCGCCTCTCCAGGCAGGACGGAGAGTCAGTGCCCAAGCGCGACGGAGAACCAGTGCCCAAGCGGTTGCAGCACCCAGGCCGGACTGAACGACGAGGGTCGGTCAGTATATGTCGAGAGAGGCGGAACGTAAGAGGGGAGTCTTGCCTTGGCGCGAGCAAGGTGTACCCGCGACTGGATGCACGGGGGAGAAGTGTCCGTATTCGGGCGGTTACTGAGGGTGTGAGGGGAGAGACAAGAATGAGGGATCGCAAGCCAGGCGTACCCGACGTACAGCAGTTGCGGAGCACTGCAAGCACAGGCAGACGTGTGGGCGCTGAGGCGGTTACTCGGGGAGTGAGGGGAGTGACAAGAGGGAGGGATGTGCACGGTGTGCGGAGCGCAGGTGCGGGCGGGCAAGGCGTTCGCAGCTGTTACTGGCGAAAGATAGTTGGGAGAGAATCGGACGAGGGAGTGAGGGGCGTGCCCGGCGCAAGCAACGTTCGCGCGCGTGAGGTGAGATGACAAGGTGGGATGAAAATGGGACGGCGTACGAGCTGACCGCTGCACATACGTGACGGGGTGCGGGCGTCAGAGAGACTCGCAGTAAGAGAACCGAACACGGGAGCACGGGGCGGGAGCTACCGAGGTGCCACTCACCACTACCGTAAGCGGATGACTCTGCAGATGAGYAACRGGCAAGAGTTCGGAGTAAGAAYGCAACGTGCGCGCGATTCCCTTTCCAGGCAACGGTCGCGAGAGCTCGACTGGGCGAGCGAGTGGTGGTGGAAATTCACTAAGATGGAGATGGCGCAGGTATTTTGAGTGAGCAAGCACAAAGAGCGTGAGAAGGTGAGTCGCGATAGCCATGGCGGGATGAGCTAGATGGGGGGCTGAAAGGAAGGAACTCTGAGCGAGACTTCTTTTCGCGGCGTGYCGKGCAKAGCAATAGACCGCAGGGCATTCTYGKAGTATCGAGCCCAAGGTRAGACTTCCATTAGAGCCGAGCGAAGGAGGTTTTAGCGCACRCTCGCGAGAAAAACAGAAAACAAAGAGSTGAAGAGACGGRAASGGAAGACTGCCTGCRCRKCTAAAGGTTGAGGGAACCGTCGAGGACTAACACGTGGGGCGAGAGCGAGTGAAGGACGGACACTTATTCGRAAACACGACGGAATCAAAAGGGACAAAGGCTGCAACGAAGAGATGATCRRCATCGGGCAAAGGCGAGAAGTGGAAGCCAAGACTGAGTTCTCCTTGATGAAGACTAGCGSGATTTGACCCCAATCACTGCACGATTTGATTGGTAACAGCGGGCRAGAACCGACAGGTGAAACCGAAACCGAAGGTCAARAGGATYGCGTGTGTAGGTTGCTGTTCCCTACATTTGTCCGCTGAGTCATTGTCAGATAGGCAAACCGAAMGTAGAAACCTCTCTTTGTCTGACGAGCAACTGCAGTCTCGTTTGCTCGCTTCGCTCAAAGTTGTCTCATCCTTGATCCCTGGATCATACGAGGAACTGTAAACTCTTTTGAACGTCTGGCTCGAGGTTATAACATTCTCGGATCTTTTATTTGACGAGCCACCRCAGAGTCATTCGAATATTTGGCTCAAAAATTTCTTATGCCTGGTCTCTTCGATATTTCACGCGCAACTGCGGAGTTATTACTTTGCTTGGCTCGAAATTGTTCCTACCCCCGCATCTCTGATTCAKTGAGAGAGAGAGAGGAAGAACARCGAGYGGGGAAGAGTGAATGGGCGAGAGTGAGAGGGGAGGAGAACCGGGAAAGAGAGATGAAGATGGAGGGGAGAGGAATAGAGGGCAGTATGACCTCTCCAAGGGGAACAGCAATGCTTAACGGGGCGTGAACTCGTCCATTCTGCAGTTCAGTGTGAAGATGAGGTGCCTCACGACTTTGCCCAATTGTCGCATTTGCAACTGTTTGGACTAGCCAATCCAACGGAGAGCTAACGAAGCTCGTCTCAAATTCGTTGATCTCTGTGTAGGAAAATTTTAGCTAACCGTTTGTGGGATCTTGAAGCTTGATTGCGCGAGCTTATCATTGGGAGAGTTTTCCTGGTCTGCTATTTGAGCATCCGAGCTCGCTGTGGGGCGAGCTGCTGACCGTTGTTTTTTTTTGTTCTAACTGCAGAACGAACTACCTGAACTGACGATCGAGTTACCAAATCCTGTTGGGGCACGAGTATGTAAAACAACTCATTGGCTGTCTAACTTGCTGTTGGTCGAGCTTGCTGGTCAGACGATTGACCTTCCAATTGTTGGCATTGCGTGTGCTAGTAGGGATGCTGAAAATACGAGAAAGTTGAAACAGGGTTCATAACCGTACTATCAAAGCTTGAACCCTGCTGGTCGCTGAGGACCTCGGAAGTGGGCGCGGCGAGTGACAGGCGTCGTTGCCCTTGGCTTCAGCGAACTGCGGGCGACCCCTCCTCGGGTTTCCTCACAACGTAGTTCAGTGATTAATTCAAACGAACTATAGCATTGTTTATTAGTCATTGGATGGAGTGACACTCTACGCCGATAACATGAATGAGAGGATTCTGACCGCTCTCGTACACCTTACCAGAGTGAAGACGAGAGTCTGATCTGTTTTTCGAAAGACATCATCCTCTTTTTATTTGCGACCGTTCTTAACCGACATCCCGTTGCATATCCAGAGTAAATTCCTTGCGATAAAAAATTGCCGATAGATTTGATTTGATTCAAATTGATTGTCAATTTATCTTCTGTAATGACCCGCCAAAACACAGACTGAGAACACTGCTGATTTCTGGGATTTGCCGCTGGAATGAATGCCTTGCTGAGATTCCCGCGTTCTGCTGTGGTTTCCAAGTCTGTGTGTGTGTGCATGCCTGCTGAGTTGCGTGCCTGTCTGAGTGCTTGTCGGCTAAGTGTGTGTGTGACCCGCAAGGGTAGTTGTTGGTTGAAGGGCCCCGCAGGGCCGGTACTTACCTATGGCCGTGACTTTGAGGGTTGCGGCAGGAAAAACACTCAAGTAGCGGGGGTAGGCCCGCGACACTTCTAGCAACGGGAAAAACACTCAATTAATGGTAGAAGTGTCGGGTACTGGAGGCCGAGCAGAAGAAGACAAAATGTTGGCATTTTTAGAGGCCCAGTAGCGGTAGGTTAGAGGTAGGTCTGTACCAGTCCAAGTAGCCCGGGTCTAGGGCCTGTCCAGACGATAGCAGAGCCTGCAATAATGTTTCCCTCCGAAAGGGAGGAGGTACCGGTTGCTGGGAGCCCGGTCGTCCTAGGAAGTCACCGCCCAAGAGGCCAGTAGGCCGCTATATCTTCCGGAGGAGCAAGTAGCTCCTCTTTTGCGGTATGCAAGGATTGGCGACATGCTGCTGAGCCAAGCGCTGGACTTGCACAGCGCTGCCTGGAGGTGAAGGGCAGCTGGGCGCTCAGCCTGGCTATGGTGAGCAGCCCAGCCTGAGGAGGAGGAAGAAGTGGGCAAAGGAGGAGAGTGGCGAGGTACCTACGTGGCTATGGTGGACACCATTTTCATCACCTTGTTGGGCGCTGCATCTGGAAGGCCTCAGTTGGGGTAGTGCCTCACCAAGGAAGCTCGAGGTAGAGTCAGGCATGGCAGCTTAGTCAGCAGCGCCATAGCTGCTTTGGGTTGTCCTTTGGACAGGAGTGCAGCGCCATAGCTGCTTTGTGTTGTCCTTTGCACAGAGAGGGTGTTACATGCTGCGCCTGCACACGAGGGCCATTTTCCAGGCCCTGCGTCCTTCAGGCTAAAAGCCTGGATTTCAGGCCGAAAGCCTGAAATTCAGGGCCTACAGGCCCCGTGTCCGTTCAGCTCGTAGAGCTGGAAACAAGGGCCTACAGGCCCTGTGTCGTTTCAGACTAAAAACGGCATGAGCCTTTTTAGCCTTAAACTGAGGGCCATTTTTGGGACCTCATCAGACCAACCTGCCCCGAAACTCAGGCACCAAACCAGGGTTTTAGGAACAGGCTATTTTGGCCTGTTCCCACGACAGCCTCAGCATTGAGCTGCAGCGTCAGGCCCTGGCSCAGTTCGGCATTGRCAAGAGCAGCCTCCTGGASTGCCCGCCCTGCAACTGCAGGCAGTCGGAGGCAGCCAGGAGGCAGGCCGAGGTAGTACATAGGGACTTCCCATGCACTTCACGGGTAGGCAGGAGGCAGTCAATAGTCTTCAGGATTCGGCAGCAGCACTCTGGACGAGCGCTGCAGTAGTAGTAGTAGCGTTAGTCTTAGTCTTCAGCGTTGGGCGCTTGCAGCGTTAGTAGTAGTCTTCAGCGCTGGGCGCCATAGCTAGAGTAGCACTAGAGAGAGAGAGATTGGGCGGAGGCCAGGGGTACTCACCTGCAGCGCCGTTGCTCCAGCTTCGTCTTCGAGGTACCCGCAGCACAGCGCCATCTTCACAGGTTAGTACCTGGTATACAAGAGAGAGAGAGAGAGAGACTCACCTGCAGCGCCGTTGCTCCAGCTTCGTCTTCGAGGTACCCGCAGCACAGCGCCATCTTCACAGGTTAGTACCTGGTATAC